TCGTCTTTAGTACGAATAATATGCTTGACAGTACTTGTACAAGTGAGAACGGAATCTTCTGTATGAAAAATGTCTTTATATTGATGGCATAAACGGAGAATTTTTTATTTTTCTTCAGAGTTCAAGTGTTGAGTTCGAATCATACTACTATTGAAAGAGGTACTAGAAGACTGCTTAGGAAGTTCTTCCTCAAATTTTGAGAGGTATGTGGCAGAGACAGGTTGAGAAAAATCAATTTCCAAATTTTCTGGCTTAGGAATATCGATATAACCATCTTTAGCATAATGTATAGATTCTGGTAAGATAACATGACCTTCATGGATGATTTCCGGGACAACTACTTCACCATTGTTGACGGATACAGGAATAGATTATTTGTACGATAGATTATTTTAAAAGGAATTTCGATACCTAGTTTACGGACAGAAAATATGTGAGATTCATAGTCAATGTTTACACCCAATTGATCAAGTTCACCAGTTCCGAGAGGAATATCAAAATCATCATGCCAGTCTGCAATTCTGACTATAAGAGGTGTATGAATACCTATTTCATTTAGTACAGGGTAATATAAATTTCGAGTATACGTTTTCGGAGTTTTCATGGATATAAGAATGAAGGGCTCATAGAATTCATGTTCAGGGTCATACATTTTAGCAGCTCTTGGGGTAATAACTGTATCTGATCCACCGGAGTCGATCAAAATTTTCAAATTGGAATGGGGTAGGTAGCAATAGGGTAGCTTGGTGTGTTTTGAAAAGTTATTTAATTGGATGGTTCGATATCGGGCGGTTCCTGAATGGCAGGCCCTTGAAAATTTTCGGAATAGGCTTGTTGGTCTTTATATGTGTCATAATATTCGTGATTACAACATTCGTCAGAATATGTGACGGAATTTGGGTCACACTCTACATTATGATGAAAAGTACGACTATTATGAGTGGAGGTGGACATCGGAGTTGATTTACGACTAGTAGTCTGCGTTACTGACATAGGACTGGGCTTGTATTGATTATTCGGTACATTATTTGGACGAGAAGGACCGAATACTTCTCTGTTAGTAGGAGGATTTTGACGTTGAGGTATGGGCCAATTTATATCACCAAATGTTCTGTTAGGTGTGAACGATTGGAAACGGGGCTGTTGAAAAAAATTTTGGGTACCATTAGATGGATTCTGTTGAAACGAAGACTGAAAATTGGGTAATGCATTTCGATTACTCGGTTGAGTGACAGCTTGGGCATTACGTTGAATGGGACGTGGTGGTGCCTTTTGATACTCATTGGGGTAGGTAGAGGATTTCAGATACGACATATATTGCTGTTGTTGCTTATGGTTATCTAAAGAAATACATTTCTGAAGAGCTTCGTCTAACGAAGATAAATCGTAATGAGATAGGTGGTCGCAATATGGATTATTTATACCAGTACAGAAGGCTCTAAGTGCTTGATTTCTAAAGAATGAAGCTTTAAACTCAACTGCCTGTGGATTACTTTCATGAAGTGAAACATGCTGAAGAATATCATTTAATGCTAGTGTTACTCGGTGGTGATATTCATGATACGATTCGGATCGTTTTTGGACTGTGGTTGTGAGTTGGGTTAATAAAATTTCCTCGGTGCGATGATCACCATATTTCTGCAATAAAAGTAGCTTTATCTCAGCCCACTGAGTTTGATTGTGAAGATTTAAAAAATCACGAGCCTCGCCTTTTACCTTAGACAATATATTAGCATTTATGATGTAGGTTTGGATAGCATCCGCACCTTGTTGAGAAAAAAAATTTACCAAATTATCTACAGAGTTGATAAAAGTAGATAGATTTTCACCCACTTTGTATTCTGGCAAGGTATTACACAGATTATTGATATCCGAATTTGAGAGAACCATGTTTGGATTTTCTGTAATAGTTTCTAAGGAAGAGGTACTTAATTGTTCGGTAGAAATATTTTCAAGAGAGGGAGTAGAATATGGCTTAAATCTAGACTTTTCTTTTGAAATTCTTCGAGTACTAAGTGAAATAACAGCTTGTAAAGAATCCTGTGGATACTCGGAACTCATAGGAAAAATGGAATGGACTTACATAAGGATCAGACGAATCAGAAGGATTTTCATCTCCAGTACCGTCTCCAGTTTCCTCAGGTCCGTGGTATTTGTAGATAACTGCCAAGTCGTTGACACGAGCCGATGATCCTCAGGGATGTCGTGCAGTTATCCTGTTCGCAGCGCCAGATAAATTCTCGAAGCCAGGATTTTACTTTTTAAAAAATATTTATTTGAGTACCGACCGACTATTACAAAGATGAGTTATGAACTGAACTGATTAACAAAAATATAAACCAAGTAAACTAAAAATGTCTATGTTGCATTTCCGGTAAAGGTGAACGCCGTTCATGTGCCGACGTATGGTTACCGTATCCGGTTGGATACATAACTCGCGCGTCACCATGATCACCTAGAGGTCAGTTAGGGAATCTAAGGGCCGCGCTATACATGGACAGGCGCAAAGGGGTCAGAACTCTGCGAATTGGTAGGCGCAGGACGCGAAGTAATCTCAACGGCACAGGTTCTGAAATAAAGTTGTTAGTGCCCTCGTTTTGGTGCTTCGTTATGATCTTCCTCATTTCGATTCTGCTCAGTAGTAGGACAAACCTTCGTTATCCGTTATCGAAATAAGAAAGTTCCGTTAACTACGGAAAATAGGAAGGAATATTCCGTAACAACATGTTTGCATTATATAGCGCTGTTGTCGGAATTTGTAGAGCTGGGTAATTTTAATACAAATAATCTCGAGTTATGGAAACGTGTTGGTTAAGATATAATAGCAATATGAGTTATAGATCACAGATGGAAATTAATGGTAGAAATAGGCAATGTTCTAAATAAATTGAATTACTCTGATTTTTGTATTCATATATCCAATGTGACAAGGTAGCCTTTTACTGTCGTTCCGGTAATTTGGTGGACAATATTGTCGTTCTGTGGTTCTAGTATTCTAGAACTATTTACTTCTAGTCCGGCTTGGACTCGAATATTAACGAAACCTTTCAATGGAAAAATTTAACAAAGTATAGTAAATGATGGCTTCACGTCAAAATCAAAAAAGAGTATCTATATAACCTGTCACGACTGTCAGAAGTCAGTACTGTCAAATTACCATGGTTCACGTACGGTACACAGAGACTGTTGTTTAACAACACTCCTTATTTCCTGTCGCTGTCAAAAGTAAAGTAACTGAATGCTTAAAAGTTTTCGGTTGCACTAAAAACTATCCAATACATGGGACGCATTGACGTTTATCTCGAGAAGTAGCTGAATTAGCATATTTCATAATTGGGTGGAGACCTTCAGTTGAAATTCACACAGCTTTTTCCTAATCAAGCGGTGATGCTCGAAATATGTTGAGAGTACCTGCTGTCCACACCAAAGCTAAAGGCTTGTAGTTTCTTTGATGGATCATCAATTGGCAAGAGATAACTTTTGTGTGCGTAACTGCCTCCAGAACCTTTTGTAAAGCAAGGGAAGCGTCTTTTTTCTCACAGAGTTAAATCCTAAAGAGCTCCTAAGTTGTACAAAAAGACATGGTAAATATGCAAATTTGTGCTGAACATAATCCTTTATGAACTGATGACAGCGTTGCGTAGGAAATGCAGTCATCCTACTTGACACCAATTTCTTTGTAGCAGGTTGAATATTTACACAAAAGCGCCAGTTTGACTGCTCTTGCTGTTCTAAGAGGTGTTTTACTTAACGAATTGCTGAGCCCAGTAATACTCGTAATTGCATTCCAATCAAGCTAAAACCGGCATGATAAAAATGATATTACGGTGTCGGGCAATCTCTCAAAAAGGCAATAAGCTCGAAGCCGTGCCGGATGCAAAATTCATGTTCCGACGTTTGCCGAGAATTAAATTATCAATAATTCAGGGTTGCTACCAACATGACGGCGGTAAAATCTAAAAGCGACGACCTGCCGCTATTTATGACAAGCCGTATTTCCATCTTTGGCTTTTCTGTGGGAAAATGTCCGAAATGATATGCTGGCACTACATGATGGCTCATCCATTCAATCTCACAATTTAAAAAACATAAGCCTAAGGCCGTTTGCACACACACCGACAAAATCGGTGCCGGTAACGATGCCGACATCGAATGCAATGTAATAAAATGAATATTTTCACACGTAGCCCGGCCCGGTTTATTTGACGGTCCGGTCACCGATTCCGATTCATGCAGTCGGTGGTGAACTCGACAATCGGACCACGCACCGGCTTCCGATTTGCCGATTCCACTGTTCTACAATCTATACTTGTCCACACAGGCTCACGCGTTCCGGTGCCGGGGATATTTATGCATCTAAGTTCTTAGTATATCGCTAACCTCGTAGGAAGTGCATACATAGGGTCGTTTGCTGTTGGATATTCATTGTACCTTTCAACTTTTTTGTACTGACAATGAGTAGAATTTTCAAGTATGATGTTGTGACTTTAATCGAAGCAATAGAAAATAAACCTTGTTTGTGGGATAAAACTGCAGATTGCTTAAAGGATAAGATTGAAAAAGAAAAAGCGTGGAAGGACGTGTGTGCGTTTTTTGAAGAAGATTTCCTAGAAAAGGACAAAAAGGAACAACACAAAATAGGTAAGTCAATATACATATATATTGAGCAATAGCAATACACAATTAATATAGTTATTATATTTTGTCCATTTGCCACGGCAACATCCCTTCAGTAGTTACAAAATAATCTGCGAGACAATCTCTCAAATAATTTGCATTTTTTGTTGGCCTAGTACAAGGAGCTATTTGCACATTTGGTAGCTTTTGCTGGCTTACATACATTTCTAAATTGTCGGCATCCCTTATTCGCACCACATTATGTAAAACTACACATGCTTTAACAATGTCTTTAGATAATTGTTTTGATACGTTTAATGCTCTGTGTAGAATTCTCCACTTATTGGAAAGTATACCGAAAGCACATTCAACGTACCTTCTTGCCCGAGTTAATCGGTAATTGAATATTCTTTTTTTCTCAGTAAGATTATGTCCAGCGTAAGGTCGCATTAGGTTTTCTGATAGCCCAAATGCTTCGTCCCCTACAAACACATAAGGAAAAGTATCTTTTCCAGTTGCTTCTAATGGACAGGGTGGTGGGATATGTAACTTGTTTTCCATCATTAATTTAAAAAATACTGTTTGTTGAAATACAGTTGAGTCGCAGTCTTTACCATAAGCTCATATATCTACATATATGAATTTATAATCAGAATCAACCACGGCCATAAGAATAATGGAAAAATAACCCTTGTAGTTAAGGTTCATTGAACCACTATATGGAAATCTGTTAACTCGTATGTGTTTTCCGTCGATAGCGCCTAAGCAATTGGGGAACTGTGCGGATTTTTTGAAGTTATCTGCTATACGTTGCCATGTTTCCTCCGTAGGCTGCGGGAGAAATTCGTCTTTTAATAAGTTCCATAAAGAGTTGCATACCAAACGAACAGTTTTACTTATTGTGCTTATTCCGATTCTATAGTAGTAGTGCATATCAGTAAATGTTGCTCCAGAAGCAAGGTACCTGAAATTTAAAAAGCACTTTTATCAATATATCGCGAACTAAAAAATAAATCTAAAAATTTTAGTTTTGCATAATTTTATTGTACGCTTCTATGATTTTTAATTTTACTTATAGGTGAAGCAATTCGTGGGAAATGGCAAAATATCCGTGACTCTTTTGTGAAGTCATTGAAGAAAAAATCTGGACAAGCCACTACAAAAAAATATATGTACCATGATAACCTAACATTCTTGCTGAAAGTGGTACAATCAGACGACACGCAGTCAAGTATTGATGACACCCAGGATAACGAGCATTCTCTGTTGAAAGAAACCCAAAACGAAGCCGAGAGGGAGTCTGAAGTACAAGTGCAACTCCAAAAAAATATCAACCCTATGCCTGCAGGAAACAGGAACACATCAAAAAAACCTCGCTTGCAAGAAGATGTAGATAAGAGAATTTTAACAGCCCTAGAAAAGCCACCTGACGAGGATGAGGCATTCTTTCTGTCAATTACTCCATCAGTACGAAAAATGTCAGAAGATGATAAGCTGGAATTCCGCATGAATGCACTTCAATTAATAAAAAATATTAACATGCGTAACAAAATGCAATCGCCAGCATTTGCCAGTCACACATCTACATCAACCTCTCGATCATCAACGCCATTTTCACACAATACATTTCCACTTTCTAATAATTCCAGTAATAGTCAACATGCTCATGATTTTCAACAGAGTCAACAGCAGTGTTTACCTGGTAATCTAGCCCAGCCTACCTATAATAATCCCAGTTCAACTTTATCTGAACCCACTATAACCTTTTTTCAAGACCTCTAACCTATAAACTTGTTAACAAATAAACATTAAAAACAATAAGATGTGTATTTATTTATATTTACTCACCTTATTGTTACTGCGACCATTTCCTTTGGAGGGATACATGCTCTCATTGGAGTATTTTGATGTTTGATACTGTTTAATAATCGTTCCACTATGAAATCGAAAGTATCAATACTCATTCTGAAGTAATTGAAGAATTTCGAGTTGTCTTTCCTAAGTTTCTCAAAAAGCGTGTAGAAGCTACCTTCTAAGTATCTGACAGTCAGCAGAGGATGCACCCAATGTTGTCTTACTTTTTTAGCTTCTCGATACTTCCTCCTGAGATACAATAACCCAAGGAGATAACGTTTATTAGAAGCAGAAACATACATCTTTCTATTACCACTGCCAAACACCGAATAAAATTGACGGCACGGAAACGCCGGTATGTGTGAAATTAAATGTTTTCCGGCACAGGAAACGGTACCGGCACCGGCACCGATTTTGTCGGTGTGTGTGCAAACGGCCTAAGAAAGATCCGAATCTTGGCAGAGTCTAGAGTCTTGCGATTGGCTACGAAGTTTTAAAGCCATACTTTGAATTTAATAATTCATGACAAAAAATTGGTTATTTTTGAAGAGGCAATAATCATCTGCTGGTGATGAAGCCGCATAGGTAAAATGTCTCACGTGCCTTAAGCCATATGTCGTGTGCCAAAATCACGTAACCTTTTGTTTACTTATCACTTATCCGTAATTTGAATTTCTCTTCATTGATAATAGAGTGCCCATTCCTAGGACAACCCATTTTCAACGATTTTCTTCTGACAAATTTAATAGTTTGTTAATTGTATAATTTCACTCGTATTATATTTTTCTTTCTCAGCGATTCAGTATGGTGTTGACGATCAGCAAAAAAAACCCTACAGAGACTGTTTAAAAATCTACTCTAGTCTCCGTCTGAGATAAAACTACTCATTGAAAACAATCGCACTTAAAACAAAACCATGTACATTTTTTTTCGTACAAGACAAGTCTTTACTTGTCTTTACTTACAAAGGCAAAAAGAAGATAAAAATGTACTAAACTAATACACCCTTGTTCTTAAAAGTTATGGCAGCTCAAAAATCAAAATCATGATCAATGTAATAGAAAGTGCCATGTAGGCACTGCCCCCATATTTGAATACCTACGTTTTTTTCAGGGGATGGCTTCCAATTTGCAAAACGAAAACGCAGTTGTTTTTGTTTTGCATATCTTCGATATCTAACTCCAAAATCACTCAGTGTCTTTGAGTAAGGTACGTCAAATAGGAATGACTACTTGAAATAATTTAACTACAAACATCAAACAGAAGGGACAAAACACAAAAACAAGGGAGCACGTGCTTCATTCAAAGCTGTCTGTTAGAACTCGGAAAGTAGCATTAAGCATAAGGGTCACCCATCGAAAGTTTCTCCCTAAATCTCCTTAGCGCACGCTGAAAGAGACCCTCCACTGTATAAGTCATCCTGAATACAAATGTATAAGAATGCTTTTAGGCAGCATGCTGACTGCAATGAATCTGAGAAATTTGTTTTCGTCTGAAACGTTTTTTATGGGATGACGCTTCGTCCTTTTTGCTTATAGACTAGAGGTCCTTCATTTTTAAGATTGATTTATCTATAAAACGCATAGACTTCGGAAATGGTTTACTACGTATAAAGTTTTTCCTGTCTTGTCCAGAGTAGCATCAGATTGAGCTTTGAGGCTGTAGGATCCCTGCTGAAGGTCGTATTACATATTGTAGAGGTGTACAGAACCTAGTTCAAGTATTCTGTGGTAACTACTACATAATTGTATAAACAGTATGCAGCAGTAGACCATTTATTCCAAATAGAATCGCTGAAATCGTTTGTAGGTCGTTCCAGGGGTTATTCATTGACTCTATGTATCTATGCATAGATAATAGGTACCATCTCAAAACTTCCTCCATAGGGTAACTAGGGAGTTTTTTGATGATTGAATGCAGCTCTTAATTTATTAGCTAAAGCGTATTAGAGGGATTTTCAAGACTCCTTACAGTTTTTATTCCGTGTGTCTCAATAAAATCAATTCGGTTTCTTTCCGCTGGAGGGTTCTGATGACTCGAATAGACGTTTTTGATTAAAGAAATATACAGATCAGCTAAAAATACATCTTAAAAGCAGGTCACATTTTCTTTGTAATCTTAAGCATCTCTTACTTTACACTTATGTGAATTATAGTTGATAGTTGGAAACTATTTCAAAAAACCTTACATACTCCGGATTTGAGTGGGTAGTTGACAAAACTGGGTTCGCACAAATAAACTGTCAATTATCAATCACAGTTTTATTCTAAAATAAAAATACAGTTATACACTGCTTTTAAAAAAGGGCCAAGTTAGAAAGCTGAAATTGGATGCATGAGTATTATGTTTTAGCGTAAAGGTGGCATTTGAGAATTTCAAGATGGCGGTTGGGCGCTTTTGGAATTGAATTGGGATTGAGTGATACCTCATTTTAAAGCTCATGATGAGTACTTAATGACCAAAAAAATTAAAATCACCATCTCTGAAAATGGCGAACTGGCAGGCCGCCAAAGTTGAGCTTTTTGTACATTGAGTTGCTTATAGCCCAACAATCAATCATTAAAGTAAGATATATTAACGTTCCTACATTAGAAGGGTCTATCAGAATGTTTGATAAAATATAAAACATTAATTTGGGGAAACATATCAGAAACCGCCATTTTTCTCAACTTAAAAGTTGCATACTTCCCCTAGTCCTTTCCAAAGTAAGGAAAACGTGATTATGATTGAACTTTGATAGCTTCCCAGTTCGCCATTTTTAAAAATACTGGTATAATATTCTAGGGTTACGAAGTACTCATAAGATCTTAAAAATAAAGTATCACACAAGATCACGCTGGACTGCCATCTCGAGATTTGCAACTGTTATTTTCAAATTATGCTCTTCCATCATCCCGAATTTTCGGTTTGCTAATTTAACTCGCCCCAAAAATTTGTGGGAGGGAGTGTTGAAAGCACTGTAAGTTTAAAAGAGGTCGCAGTTTTTAATTTCTTACTGACGAGAGGTCGCAAATGTACACCCCTCTTCTATCCAATCTCATTTTTTCGAAAGGCATCACTAGCTCGAGTTATTCTGAGAGCAATCCATTTCCTTCAATTTACTTTACCAATCATACTTTTCAAACTTGAAAAGGGATTTGAAAAGAATAATGGGCAGCAGATTTGAGCAACTGAAAGAGGTCCGGTTTGCGGGACTGAAACCAAAATCCAATAATAATGATTTTGTGCAAACATCTAAATCAAAATATACATAGAAAAGGCGAGCCTGGGTTCTCGCCATTTGAAAAAATATATAGGTATACAGTCTCACTTGCAAATATCTAGGAACATAATGGTGAACGAACACGTGACGCGAGCTACGCGTGCGCTCCACTACGGCATACTGGATACCTAAGCTACTATTTATACTTGGAATATAAGAGAATGTGGAGACAACGGGGCCATGATCCGCTTAATGTAGAGGGTTTGGCGTAGCGTCCTTTCTCCTACCTCTAATTTGGACAAAAGCTATTTCTTTTCACGCTTCCAATTTATTTAGTCGAGCTTTATTCATTATATCAACTAAAAACGTTGTCTTACCTCCTGCATCCATGGAATAGCATGTGCAAGTAATATGTTGTCTCACCTGTTGCATACGACATCCTTTTATAGAGAAGATAACGATGGCATCATAGGCGTAGCCCCATACTATTGGATACTAAGTCCTTGATGAGCATTCGGATAGAAACTGATTGTTTGAAATATCCCTTGAGCTTCTCTTCCAAATATCCAAAAAAGGGAATATGACCCAACTATTTACTATCAATAATATCTCTGTGATATTCTATAACACCATAAAAGTTGGGCTTAGATAAGACTTCCACATTTTTTGGAGGGGTGAGTATATAGTAATTGAATTTTCAGTTCCCTGGGAAATTACTAAACTGAAGATATCGGAAAAGAGACATAAACTAACACTTGATGGTCGTACGACTTCAACGTCACCATTTTTAACGGAGAACCTTTTGGATCGATGAAACTTGGGTGCTAAACCTAAATATCTGTCAAATATATGAGCAGTGTCAAAGTTTTTGTTTAAAAAGCTTTCTTGGCCAAAGTCTACAAGGACCGTCTGCAGTTGGGTTGCGAGACTAACTGTTCTTAAATTTACACATTGACGCGTCTGTTGTTAGATTCGGAAATCGGCTTGTTCTGAGAAGTAGGATTTTCAAGACAAAAAATGCGTTAAGTAGGTTGACTCTAAACCATGCAACGCCGTTATAAGTTCATAAATGATTATCTACAGCACAAACTAGACCCCTCTGAGAAAAACAGTCAGTCAAACAGGTAAATACAATTACTCCATAGACATTTTCTCCCTGCCTACCGATAGTGCATCTGGAAACGTCGCCTCTCCCCGATACTTAACTGGGTCCTGTATCCCTTTCTGCTCTCACATTACCAACTCATCCAATTACAGAACACTTGATATAACAGCAGATAACACTGAACATGTGCCAGTACAAAATATAAATTAACTAGGAATGTATATAGATGCCCATATAAGATATGATGCCCACATTAAGCATACAGCAAGGAAACTAAGAGTACCATAAATAACATCAGATATCTGTGTAGATTGCTACTACACAGCTCCGTATTAAGTATTATCGTTCAATACAAAGTCACTTTAGTTATGGTGTTTGCTTGTGGAGCCGCAAATGTCACATATTTATGGAATTTGGAGATCACCCAAGAATCCATTTTTAAAACAATGTTAAAAAACAAAGACAATACCGATCAGATCCAATAATTCAGCAATAATTATTTTTTTTGATGACATATCTAGAAGCATGTTAATATTACTTGAGGTCCATCTTATTATTCACATTACTCTCAAAATATCAAATGCAAAGCAAATATCAGACCTAAGACCAATAACTATTTTACCTATCGTGTCCAAGGTTCGGGAAAAAATTATGGAGCAATAAAATTCTCAATAGGTCGAAAACAGATGTATTATACCACAGTTTCTGCTTTTCGTTATTCTTGTGATACAACAACAGCACCCGCTTGTATTGTCGATGACACTGTAAATACTACAAGATTATAGTAAAGCATTTGATACAATTGACTACCGAATTTTGTGAGCCAAGCTTGAATATTATTGATTTAGCTCTACTGCCGCGCCACTTATGAAAAGATTCCTTGCCAAGATATACTAAGTGACATATAAATCCGAACACCCAGTTTAAATAGTTTTATTTTAATAAAAGTTGGTGAATGTATTTATCTTACTGTAAATAACAAGTGAAAAAATTGTCAGCCTTATCAGTTGGACATTCCGGTTTTTATACTGCTTTTTTTTTAATTCACTAAGCACTTAGAGTGCAAAGAAGTGTAGACACTGTGGTTAGGTGTTGTCGGGCATGGCTTCGAGAAGGTCGTACGCAAAGAGCAAGG